AAAAATTATTTCATAGAGTTAGAAAAAATAATAACAAGATTCATTTGGAAGAACAAAAGGTCCAGAATATCAAGAGAACTAATGAAAAGAAATGCAGGGGAAGGTAGCCCAGCCATTCCAGATCTTAAATTGTACTATAAAGCAGCAATCATCAAAACTTCTTGGTACTGGCTAAGAAATAGAGTGGTGGATCAGTGGAATAGGTTAAGGTTGCAAGACATAGTAGTCAATGACTATAGTAATCTATTATTTGATAAACCCAAACACCCCAACTTCTGAGATAAGAACCCACTCCTTGAAAAAAACTGCTGGGAAAACTGGAAAAGAGTATGGCAGAAACTAGGCATAGACCAAAATCTCACACCATTTACCAAAATAAAGTCAAAATGGGTATATGATTTAGATATAAAGGCTGATACTATAAGCAAACTGGGAGATCAAGGAATAGTTTACCTGTCAGATCTATGGAGAACAGAAGAATTCATGACCAAACAGGAGATAGAGAACATTACAAAAAGCAAAATAGGTAATTATGATTACATTAAATTGAAAAGTTTTTGCACAAACAAAACCAATGCAACTAAGATTAGAAGGAAGGTAGAAAATTGGGAAAGAATTTTTACAACCAGTCTCTCTGATAAGGGCCTCATTTCTAAAATATATAGAGAATTAAGTCAAATGTATAAGAATACAAGCCATTCCCCAATTGATAAGTGGTCAAAGGATATGAACAGACAGTACTCAGATGAAGAAATTAAAGCCATCTATAGTCATATGAAAAAATGCTCTAAATCACTATTAATTAGATAAATTCAAATCAAAACAACTCTGAGGTACCACATCACACCTATAGATTGGCCAACATGAGAAAACATGAAAATGATAAATGTTGGAGAAGATGTGGGAAAATCAGAACACTAATGCATTGTTGGTGGAGTTGTGAAATGATCTAACCATTTTGGAGAGCAATTTGGAACTATGCCCAAAGGGCTATAAAAATGTGCATACCCTTTGACCCAGCAATAGCACTTCTAGGGCTATATCCCAAAGAGATCACACAAACAGGAAAAGGACCTACATGTACAAAAATATTCATAGCAGCTCTTTTTGTGGTAGCAAAGAATTGGAAATTGAGAGGACGCCCATCAACTGGGGAATGGCTGAGCAAGTTGTGGTATAAGAATGTGATGGAATATTATTGTGCTATAAGAAATGATGAACACGCTGACTTCAGAAAAACCTGGAAAGACTTGTATGGTCTGATGCTGAGTGAAGTGAACAGAACCAAGAGAACATTGTACACAATAACAGCTACATTGTGTGATGACTAATATTGATAAACTTAACCCTTCCTGGCAATACAAGGATCTAAGACATCTCCAGAGGCCTTGTGATGGAAAATGGTATCCACATTCAAAGAAAGAACTAAGGAAGTCGAATTGCTATTTTTTTCTCTTCTGTTGAGTTTTGTTTCCTCTTTTTGATGGTTCCTCCTATTGGTTTTAATTTTTACTTACAACATCACTAATGTGAAAATATGTTTAATATGCATGTAAATGTATATTAGATTGTGCGCCATCTTGGGGAGGATGGTGGGGAGGAAGGGAGAGAAAAATTTTAAACTCAAAAGCATATGGAAGTGATTATTGATCAATAAAAATAAATTAATTAAAAAAATATAAAAAAGAAAGAGCCTAGATATCATATTTCAAGGAAAACTGCCCCAATATCCTAGAATCACAACATAAAATAGAAATTGAAAGAAGCCACCAATCACCACCTAAAGGGATCCCAAAATGAAAACTCAGAGGAATATTATGGCCAAATACCAGAACTTCTAGGTGAAAGAGAAAATTCTTGAAGCAGCCTGAAAGAAATCATTCAGATATCATGCACCCAGTCAGGATCACACAAGACTTAGCAGCTTACCACATTAAAAGAGTGTAGAGCCTGGAATATGATATTCCAGATGGCAAAAGAGCTAGGATTACAACCAAGAACAACCTGTCCAGTAAAGTTGAGTATAATCCTTCAAGGGAAATATAGATATTTAATGAAATGAAAGACTTTCAATCATTCTTGATGCAAAGACTAGAGCTGAATAGAATATTAGACTTTGAAATACAAAACTTAAAAGAAACATAAAAATGTGGCCTAGCCATACCACATCTCAAACTTCATTACAAAGTTGTAATCATCAAAACAATCTGATACTGGCTAAGAAATAAAGTGGTAGATCAGTGGACTAGGTACACAAATACACAGTAGTAAATGACAATAGTAATCTAGTGTTTGATAAACCCAAAGATCTAAGCTTTGGGGGTAAAAACTCAACATTTGACAGAAATTGCTGGGAAAACTAGAAAGGAGTTTGCCAGAAGCTAGGAATAGACCAACATCTCATACTATGTATCTAGATAAGGTCAAAATGGATAAATGATAAAAGAACAAATCTTTGTTGTTGTTGTTCTTATATTTTTGTTCTTTGAAATTCTATGATTTGTTCTGTGAAGTTTGGATTCAGTCAGAGGGCCACACTTGAGGACCTAGAGGGTCACATGTGGCCTTGACACCACAGGTTCCCCACCCCTGATTTAGACATAAAGGGTGATATTATAAGTAAATTAGGGGAGCATTGAAAATGTGCCTGTCAGATCTATGGATAAGGGATGAATTTATTGCCAAACAAGAGACAGGATTACAAGAAGTAAAGTAGATACTTTTGATTACATGAAATTAAAAATACTTTGTACAGATAAAACTGATGCAGCCAAAATTAGAAGGAAAACTGGAAATGGGGTGGGGGGGAGGCAGGGGAGGAGGAATGCATAGCCAGTTTCTCTGATAAAGGCCTCGTTTCTCAAATATATAAGGAACTGAGCCAAACTTATTGAAAGAAAGAAAGAAAGAAAGAAAGAAAGAAAGAAAGAAAGAAAGAAAGAAAGAAAGAAAGAAAGAAAGAAAGAAA